CAGGCAATTCACTCACCTCAGCCTCCCAAAGGCGCGGGATTATAGGCTGAGCCACCGAGCCCGGCTAGCCCGGCATATTTTTAAAAAATGTTTTGTAGAGACAGCGTCTTGCTATGTCTCCAAGACTGATCTTGAAGTGATCCTTGCTCTTTGGCCTCCCAAATCACTGGGATTATAGGTGTGAGCTACTGCACTAAGCCAAATTAAAGCAAATTTAATTCCTTTGTACATTTTAAGTCCAGGTTAAATCTCTTGACAGATGTTTAAGTCTAAAAGAGATATCTTTGCTATTTTCAAGATGCGTTTATCTTTTGTAAACATCTAAATGCAGTGGTTTATAGAATATTCCAGTTCTCAAGTAAAGTTTTTAGAATTGCTGCCAACTGAAGCTCCAGAAAAAGGCTAATTTTGCTTCCACAATATGAACTCTGTGTGTGTGTGTACGTGTACTTGGAGTATTAAAAAAAAAGACAAATGGGTAAAAGTAATTTATGCTTTTTAGCATATCTATTTGCACAGATCACTGTGTAATTAGGAAAAACCTGGTTTTTAAAAGTATACACAGAAGCAAATTTTTGTAAAGGAGTGAAATTTTAGGTTTATAGTATATTAAAGCATAGCACTAGTTTGTGGTAAAATCTTCCAAGAAGCTAGGCTGAAGTAGCTACCAACTAAAAGCTAGGACTTTTCTTAGCATTATATCTGTGAATGTTCAGACTAATGAAATGAAATCAGGTAATGAAAAATACTGATTGCCTGCTTACCTTCTTCTGTAGAACAAGTACTTTTTGTAGTTTTTTTTAAACTTTAATTTTTTTTCATTCTTATTACAGAAATTAAACCAGGCCAATGAATGTATACTAAACCAGTTCCTAAATATGCTTATTACAAAAGAATTTAAGAGGTAAAAAGGAAGAAATAAAGCAATCTGAAATGTTAGCCTCTAAATTTAGCCTTTACTGGTAGCCTGTTGACTCTGACTTTTTAGATTTCTATGTATATTCCAACATACATAATTGTATTCCACTGGCATATATATATATATATATATTTTTTTTTTTTTTTTCTTCTTATAAATGCCTGTCTTACTTTTTCTCTGTTTACCTTCCCTTCCACACCCTTTTCATGCTCTTAAAGTTGTGTTTAGACATGCTTCTTTTCATTGTTTATTTCACAGAAATGGAATCCTATTATATCGCATTTTGCTTTTACTTAGTAATAGTCATGGAAACCCTTCTAAAAGCAACTGGTACTGTCTAATTCTCCCAAAATTAAGTGAAAAAAATTCATATTACCTGGCTTTAAAATGTTAGGTAGTAGTTTCCTAGCTTATAATGAAAAACATTGTCTCCTTTCTCACTTACCATTTGTCTTCCTAGTGTGGAGATGAGAATTAAGCTCTTCCCCTTCCCCCACCCACCCCATTTACACATTCTCCTGGTATTTACCACACTTTTTGCTTAAAATCTATATTGTTAAAATAAAAACTTTAGAGAAATTAAATTTGACAGAGTTTAATTGGATAAAGAACAACTCGCAAATTGGGCAATCCATGAACCAGAATAGGTCAGTGAGGATCCAGTACAGCCACGTGGTGGAAGATGACTTACTGACAGAAAAAGGAGAGTGAAGTACAAAATATGGAAGTGAGGTACAGAAACAGATTGGTTACAGCTTAGTGTTTGCCTTATTTGAACATGGTTTGGACTGTTGACTGCCTTAGACTGGCTGAAATGTGATTGATTGGCACAAGGTCAGGTTATAGTTTGTTTACACATCGTTACAGTATAGTTCACTATATATGGAGAAACCTTTGGACTGAACTTAAAATATGTAAGGGGACAGCTAGACTAAACTTAACAATTCCCCCCCCTTTGATCATCCTTTCGATTTTGAGAGCTGGGCAAGAGCTTTAGGCAATGATGTCTCTCTGTTGTAAATGTACTTATTTGGTCTCAAATTGCACTGGGAAATAGTGGAACAGTGGGTTTTATAGGGTGGGATCAAGGACTCAGGACTTCATTTTTTTTTTTTTGTAAAGGTTACAGTAGAGGAGACTTCCTTGTGCTGGATTCCAGCACAAGGAAGTCTCCTGTTTACAGGAGAAAAAAAAAAACTCATCTATTTTAGGATATATCTGCTTTCTTAAAGTTTCGGTTTGATTATATTACATTTAGCATGAGTGACTCCATTTTGGTTTGGTCTTGATTTTGGGGGCCTGGTGCACGATCTCAGTTCACAACAATGACCTTTTATAATTTTGTTTACAAATTTTCCTCTTTTGGTTAGGTGTTCACTTAGGTGAGTGTGACCAAAACTTAGAGCATTGGCGCCACTCTCAATGGCCATCATTTTGGGTTTCTGGTCTCAGCATGTCATTCATAGTTTATGGTATCATCATGTTCACACATTTCTTTTGAGTTTTTGTTGTTCCAATTGAAGTGAGACCATTTGACATTCTGGATATGGCTAGATGCAAACATTTAAAACTTATGAGAGGATACAGGATACCAGGGAGACTACTGTTTTGACTATCAGGAGGATAATACCAAGAATTTGCGAATGCTCCTTAGCCAGGATCCCCATGAACCAAACAAAGTAAAATAAAATAAAAGAATAACCTAGAGAAAAAGTCTACTCATTTCAGCCAAGCAGCCTGTTTGTTAATCCCCTGCAACTGAATCTCTATAATACTCAGTGTATTACTCCATGTGCAATAAGAAGTGTCAGCAACTGCACAGATAATTCTCTATTAAGCCAGAGAGTAATCTTAAACAATTCTATTTTTTTAGCACAACTTTAGCAAGATAAGATAAAAAAGTCTATTGTGTAACCATAGCCTTTGCAGTAGAATCTGCCAGAGAGCCCAT